TTTTTTTTTTTTTTTTTTTTTGAAGCGAATTTTATCGGAACGTGAGGTTCGCCATGCACGTGGCTTAATCTTGTTTCAGAGATTTGAATCAGTTGGAGTGGTTGCTAATTAACGCCAACGAGCTCTCGTCTCTGGATGGCGAGCTACCGTCTTCTGGCCATAATCTGAAGATGCTCTACGCCGTGGACAATAAATTAACTCACTTGCCGGTGGAATTTCGTTACCTGCATCGTTTGGAAAGTTTGTATCTTCAACACAATAAGATTCGCAGTTTGGATGGTACGCTACAAAAGGCACGTCGACTGAAATTTCTCGAACTTTCGCACAACGATCTGCAAGAGGTAATTAATCATGATCAATAATATAGATAAATAAAATATTAATTCCATTATAGTTTATTTTTATAATATATCAGAACAAATAATTATAATTTATATACTTTAAATATTTTTTTCTCAAAAATATGAAAAATATATTATTCTGTTTAAAAACATTATTTGAAAAACATCGTAAAATAATTTATGTTAGTTTATTAAACTATAATTTAATTTAATAAATATCATCTACAAGTATGATGTTTATATCGAAGCAATAGTGGTTTATAAAACATGTAGATATCCATATGAAGTGCAAGTGCACGATCGCGATGTATGATAACGCGTGGAGGCGTTCGTTCAATGTTCCGTGCATTAAGTCAATTACTACATCCTAATGTAATTATTATGTCGTGCGCTTCCGTTTCGCGGATTAAATTTTTATTGCAATGGACGGCTGGTATTTGATGGTCTTCTTTGTCATTCGACGTTTGATAAGCATTTTCGATCGTCTAGAAAGATTTCACATTTAACAAATTAATATAATTTTCTTTCTAATAATAATTCTAAACAAATTTCTAATTTTAAATATTGATATGATTTTCTAATTTATTATTTTATCTATTATTTTACTTCCCAAGTAAAATATATATTTAAAAATAAAATTTGAATTTAAATGAAAAAAATATACAAATAGATATAAAATATATAATAATGTATATGGTAATAAAATAATAAATAGAAAACAAGAAATATTATTAAAGATAATATTATAAATAAAATATTTTTTCTCAGTTAACGGAAGAGGATTTCATAGAAGCTGAAATGTTAGAGGATTTAGAGCTTGGGCACAATTCTTTAAAATCGTTGGATAGCGCGGGTGATAATGGCGACGGAAATGGGGGCAACAGTGTCCTTTACCCTCTTAGATCGCTCAAGTGTTTAAATTTGACGCACAACGAGCTTCGTGAATTTTCATTCACGTCACTTCGTGGTCTGCGCGAGTTACGAATGCTTGATCTCTCGAACAACAGAATCGCGCGGCTCCATAGAGGAAGAACGCCATCAGAGGTACTTTGATAAATATACTTTCAAATTTATATAGAGGAACATTCGATAATTTTTATTTGTAATATGATTATTCTCTTATAACATGGTTATTACTCTAAAAAATAGGATTGAAATTGAACTTTGAAAAATTAATATTCATTATCGACACTTCTTGCTTACCAATATATTTATGAACATATATTGAACTATTTAAATATTTCGTTGTAAGTTAGATAATATAAAAATATTTTGTTTTCTCCAAATGTATGTGAATGAATTTAATAGAATTTAATTTTTTCAAATGAATCAAATATTCATATTGCAAATAAAAAATATTATTACTTATTATTTTTAAGACAAATTGAATATCTGTAAAAAAATATATTTTAATATACTTCGTTAAAAATTTTATCAAATATAAAAAATTATATAAAAAAATATATAACTTTATATCCTCGTTGATTTATTTTTACAGAATTTAGTGGAAGAGGAAGGAGATGAAACGGCAGGCGGAAATATTCAAGATATGCGACTTCAGCATAACGAGCTACGAAGCTTGGATGGTTCCTTGTTTCTTGGAATGAAGGAATTGCAGAGGTTGAATCTAAGTCATAATGCTTTAGGACCAACAATTGGTCAACGCGATCTACGAGGTCTCGATGGTCTAAAAGTACTCGATCTTTCTCATAATGAGCTTACCACTCTTGAAGATACATCAGAGGTACAATAATATGCATGAAATTAATTCACACACGTGTTTTTATCGAATGATTGTATAGTTTTATTAGAATATTTGATTTATTCAGATATTGAACATATATTGAAATGTTAAAGAATTAAATTTTTCCTACAAATCAATGATTAATTAAAAAAGCATGTAATATACATAAATCTCAAAATAGATGTGTAATAATATCTTTTTTTAAAAAGTTTCTTTATTACCATATTTATAATCATGATATTTCTGTATAGACGTGGCTTCCTTCTCTAGAAGAACTGAATGCATCACATAATCGTTTAGTAACGTTATCCGAAAGAGACTTTCGTGGATTTCCCGTTCTTTGCTGGGCAGACGTGAGCGCGAATCGGATACGTATTCTGATGCCGGAACTCGTGGCAAATACACGGTGTACTGTTCACGGAGTGCCAGATGTGCTTCGTATATATCTGCAAGGTAAGTTCAAATTATTATCAGTATTATTATTATTATCAGTATTATCAGTATTATTATAATATATTATCTATATGGTATTATATATATGAATGTTATTCTATTAATGAAACTTGAATAAATTTGTTTAGCCTTAATTTTATCTCTTTTTTTACATACTTTAGGTATTTAAAATAAAATAAATTATTAGAGGTGATATATAAAACTCGCGTGAATTCATAAAATTCAAATAAAGAGAATTATTTGATTATTGATTAATTATTTCTTATATCATTTCATTCATAAAATAATTAATATAACAATATTTAAATTTTAGATTTAAATTTTATTTAAAATAAATAAATATAATATATAAAATAAGTAAATTATTTTTTTAAATAAAAAAAATCTCTAAAAATTATTTTTAAAATGCTTATTTGTAAATTGATAATAGCACGTACAAAAAGAAAAAAAAAAGAGAATAAAAATAAAAAAAACTTTTTTTATAAATAAGAAAAATATATATACTTTTCTTTTTTATAAATATCTATTGAATTTGGAATAAATTTTTCTTTCTATAATAAATAAATATCTGCAATATAGTTTGAGAAATTTTATTATATTATTAAAATATTAAATTTTTCTTTGATTTCGAGATTGTTTTTGAATTTCAATTTGACAAGTGAATATCTTCCAATTAAATTATTGCAATTAGACATTATTTTATGTTTATAATATATTATAATAAATTTAATTTTAATTTTCTTTTAATACAAAAGCTGCTAAACTATTTCCTCAATTATATTTAACATTTGCAATTGATTTAATAGAAAATTAATGCTTCGTTTAATAAATAAATATTGATAGATTATAATCCAGAATTTTTTAAATTGCGCAATAAAAAACGCAAGTGTACATGATTTCATATATTTAAAAATATCATTTTGTTGAATAATTTTTATTATTTGTTTGTTCTTATTTTCCATAAAACATGGAAATTTTAATTTCTAGTAAATTATAGATTATATTAAACAAAGTTAACAATTTTTCGACTAATTCCAATTCTTGAATGAAATTAAAATTGAATGATATTAAATTGAATATAATATTAAATAATTCTATTAACAAAGCTGACACAATCGATAGAAATTTAAAAAACACGATATAAAGAATAAATAAAAAATAATAAAGAATAATTTTAATGTTGATGTGCTATAAGATCGAAAGAGAAAACAAGCAATGCTTATAATATTCTTAATAACGTATTATGCGCAAATACGCGTAATCGTCTGGTTCGTACAACGTCGAGTCATCCGATCGTACGATATGAACGGTCATTCGATTTCGTTTTCCACCCTCACAAAAGGATAACGTCTTTGTGGAACGCAGACGCGTTGAATGGGCGCCAGTGCGTAATTAATAAACACATCGTTAAATGTCGCGAGGCCAACCGATGGAAGAAGAAACGAGACAGAATGAGGGAACGGGTCATGAGAGTGGTCGGTGTCGGCAGAAAATAAATTACTGCTTGATAATAACGTGACTCCATTTGGCTCCCAAGCTGTACATTATTTTGTTATAAGTTACATTTTATAATGATAACCTCCGTCGTGGCGCCATCTCGTATTATTTATTGTATACCAAAGATGGATTGTTAACTGTTATTTATTGTTAAACATATACAAGTTTTCGTGGTACCATTATCATATTCAATTCTGTTATTTCAGTTAACTTCGTTATTTCTTGGATTCTTATTCACACTCTCATTGAAATTTTCTTTTTTATAATCTGCAAATGAACGATACGATAATTCTATGTTCCTTTTATTATTATGTTTTCAAATTCACACGATCAAATCATATATATGTATGTTCATGAAATTTTTAAAATCCTAAATTCATCATCATGATGCAAATATGCATTTTCTGTATTATGATATATTAAATTTGGAATAATTTTTTCAATAGATCTTAAGGAGCTATTATGATGTCATAATTGTACGATGATTTTTATTGCTTCAAAAATTCACTCCAGACAGACTCATATCTAGCTTCTTACTTATCTTGTCTTGCTGACGATACATCATAAAAAAAAGAAGAGCTTCCCCTTGCGATATTCCGATGTTTTTTGCTTACAGATAATCCGGTGTTGTGTGATCCTGGACTCGCAGACCTGACCGTGGCTTTCGAAGTTAATCACGCGAAAGTTTATGGTGTTGCCAATAATTGTCCGACTACCGTGGCGACTCCTACCGAACAAACGTCGCCACTTCCGCCATTACCACCGACGCTGTTGTTAGCTGCCGCGGCAGCTGCTTCCGGAGGAAATGTTTCTTTCGCCGCGACACTTGAGTAGTTCATTATAAAATAGAATAAGAATTCTAAGATGTGATCAATCGATAGAGAAAATTTGAATGAAAACGAAGAAAAACGAAGGATCGAGAAGAAGAATTTTTTGATTCACAGTTATTCGTTTGTGTGAAGCTATGCAATATCTACACACGAATAGACACACGTGAGAAATGATAATATTAAAAGTTTGTTTTATTGGTATTCATTGTGATAAACTAAAAGTGTGTGGAAATGGGCGGTGTAAATCTTGGTGTAACCTCGTTCCCCTTCACGTTCGACAGGCGTTTTAGTTCGTTTAATCTAATCCGCTTGCGTGAATTTCTTGGAAGCATGCAAATGAAAAAAAAAACGTTGTATAATAATAATAATAGAATAATATATACATACACACATATATATACAAACAGACATTCATTAACATCATGACATCATAAAAAATTTCATATGCGATTAATCTCATAATCGACAACTGACAATCGTTCGCGATCAGACGTCGGTCTCTAATCGATAGATGTGTTACTACATTTGTTATATGTAGTTATTAAGTAACGAGAAATATATATTTATTTTAGTGAATTTTAATCACATATCATATAGTTCGCACAGAATAATTCCCCATGTGTTCGATATAAAAAAAAAAACATTATATACTCGCTTAAAGAACAACGAGATCATTCTTATCGAGAAACAATTTATTAACGTTTCTATTTTTTAATTATAATTATTAATATGACATTATTACGTTGTAAATAGTTATTAATTTCGTTACTTCTTATACATCCTATTAACACTAGAGCTCGACGTTTTTTCGAATGTTTCATTTCGAATTCCAATTTGCATCTATTGTTTAAAAATTTCATCTACTTTTTCATCTTTTAATATATTAAAATAATTATATATGTATGTAGTATAAAAAAAAAAATAAGTATGTAGTATAAAAAAACTGCGCTATAGAAATGATATAAATAATTAATAAGAGTACTCAAAGCTCTCGAGATCGATTAAGAAATTAATCTTTTAATTGAACTCGAAATCATTATTAATCATCCATACTTCAAAGTATTATCCATAACGCTTATGTGACGTACTATGTATCATGATTTTTCGTGTTGCTTTAGATTATTCATTAATGACGTCGGTTAATATGTCTAATATCTAGTGTACAATTATATTGTGTAAGATAATATATAGAATTTCCAGAATAATATTTGCACATTTATATTATATTATATTATATTATATTATATTATATTAATAATGAATTTTTAAATTAAATATATTAGATAAAAATTTGTGCACAGGTATTAATCGTATCAAAACCGATAGACAACGTGAATACGGCTAGTATATATCATAATATAGTGCATCAATTCCCATCGTCGACGTTTCGATCTTTAATTAAATTCCTGAATGATCGAGTAAATGAACGATCGGGCAGGTCAATAGTGTAAGTGAAATCTGTTAACTTACGTTGTGTATGCGATATGGACTGATTGGCAGTGGGCGATCAATTGACTCTCTCGTTAACTCGTGCCAATAGGGATGAATTGTTATCAACGTGCTGCTACGCATACATAATCAATTGGCCCTTTCCATGTACGAGTAAGACGCGTAAATAATTCGTAGTTATGTTAATATACGAATTAATGTAAAGTATGATAAGCGAAAGATTCAAATTTTCGCAAGATATTAGACGAACCTGAATAAATAAATTTTCATCATTCAAGATTGTTTAAATAACCAGAACAACAGTGATGTAAATTAATGAATTGACATATATCTAATATTTTCAAATAAAAACAAAAATTTTAAAAATAAAAATTTTAAAAATAAAAATAAATAAAAAATAATATCTTCAAAATTTATCCAGAATGTTACATATTCATTTCATTCATTACCAAAAGTTATTAATATTGATTGTTAATTTTAAAATTGAAACAATTTATCAACAAAATATTTTTTAAATAAAATCAATTTTAAAAAGAAGGAGAAAAAAATCAAGTTTAAATCAAATTAAGTTAATATTCATAATCTAGCAAAATTAACAATTCAGCATTATATATGACATTATAGATGCTATGTATACAAATAAAAATCAAATGGAAACTTCTTTGTAATTTTAGATTTTAAATAATTTATCTTCACTGTGATTAGCAATTTATTGTTTTTATAAAAACATAATATATTAAGACATGATATAATGGCACAATATTCATAATAATATCAGAAATACTGTAACTACTAATAATTGAACATTTTAATAAGATCGTATTAATGTTAAATTTTGTAATATATAGTATTGGAAGTCTTTTATATATAATAAAACTATTCAGATATTAATTCTTGTTGTAAAATTTATTAATTTGTATTAATTTTATTATATTACATAGTTTTATTAAAATAGTGCTATAAAATAGTTAACTACATAAAAAATATAAAAATTAAAAAATATTAATTATTTAAACAAATATTATTTACTTACTAGTATATCTAAGATTTTAATTTTACTTTATATTTAAATAATATTGAAGAAAAATATGCCTAAGTTTACAAAGAAATGCAATTATATTTGAAATTTCTACTTGCTTAGAAAAATCAATAATTTCTTTAAAATCCGTTAAATGTTCAGTTTTAAGTGTGGGATGAATTTTTTCTACTGAAATATATAAAATTATTTATATATGTATATTAATTATTAATTATTAATTCATATTATAAACTTATAATTTTTAGAAACAAATATGTCATACCTTTCCATTGATCATTGTGATTAAGTAATAGTACAAAATATTCATCTTTTATATCAGTATCATTTATAAAAAAAGATACTTTAATTTGTTCTTGTTCTTTGTTATTGATTAAACGTATTCGGAAATCTAAATATTGTTTATAAGTTTGACAAGCACATTTAATACTTTTCCATTTTAATAACTTTTCTTCTTTTCTTTTCTTTGATTCTAAAATAATATGTCAAAAGTTTGTAATATAAAATTATATATATTATATTATATCTAATTATAGAAAATACCTTCATTTAATTCAACAATTTCAATAGATAAACTATTTCTTCTTGATTTTGTTTTTTTAACTTCTTCTTCTAAATTTTCTTGTTCTTCTATTATATTGGCAATTTTTTTATCTACAATTTTTTGTTGTAAATCTGTTGCATCAATTTCAGATTTTAAACTTTCCACTTCCTGTTGTAATTCTGATATTTTATTACCATTTTGTGTTCTTTTCTCAATACATTCTAAAAAAAAAGGAATTGACAAATATTATCAAATTATTGTTTATTATATATCAGATATAATTAAATTATTTATTTTTAAAAATTTAATAAGAAAAAATAAATCTATGATACATTTTTATATTTATTATATTACAAGTAAATTATATTAAAAAAAAACATTTTTTTATTACATCTCTAATATGTTTTTTGTATTTTTGTTTTTATGTGATAAAACGAATCGATTATTATATGTTAATAAATATATGTAATATATTATATAATATATTATAATATATTATATAAATAAGTTTATTAGGAATGTATTTTATATATACATAATATACATATATATATATATATATGTACACACACTCACACACACATATACATACCAATTTTATACGTAGTTGCATCTTCAACTTTAGCGGCAATTTTTGTTTGAATATTAGAATAATATGATTTTAACTTTTCTATTATACTAAAGTCTCTATTCTGAAGAACATGTGCGATATCAATATTAAATTCTTCCATTATTAATATGTGATTTTTATGTCTGTTTTTAACGTATTAAATTAAAATACATTTTAACGTACAATACTTAGCGTAGCCATTTAAGTTTTGAAGTAACAGTGCTACCACTAAACTAGACAAATATTACTAATACTTATAACCTTAAACTTAAAAATTATTCTGAGATATTGTTCATATTTAAATAGTGAAATATTATAAAATTGTCTATTTCAAAATAATTTTATTCAATTTCTAAAATAAAATCTAAGTTTTTAATATATATTATATGATGAATATATATGATATATGAATTATGTATATATGATGAATGAATTACATTATATATAATGCGGCAAATTTAAATTTTAAAATCAATTAAATATTAAGAAAAAATACGAAAATATAATTAACTTTTAAAAACATTTTTAATGATGAACATTCTAATATAATATTATTCACTTTTATTTAACCTGTATTTTATATATTTGATTTTTAAATAAAAGGAAGTTAATGAGTTATTTGAATTAGATAAGACGTATAATTTACCAGTTGTAATAATGAATAAATATTATTCATTATCAAAATCTCTTAATGTTTTAATACCATTTACAATGACATTGTTTTTTATTTATACAGATGCCAATCATACCCTTATCATATATATATAAATTGTTATCACATTTGAATCACGGCATACATTTTTCTTACTTCATTTAAAGTTTGAGTACAAGTATAAGCATCAAATATGATGTTTAAATTTTTACCAATTTTCATCATCTTCAGCATTACTGCTGTTTTTGTACGTATAATATCCTATTTTATAATACTGTTGAAAATATTTCGAAAATAATAAATTACTATATATAATTTTTTCATTATTTATTTTTAATTTAATTGCTTATTTAATATTCCAATAATTTCCATCTTCCAATATATTTTTCATAGATTGTATCATTATTTTAACTAGTAATTTTTATTATAAAATTCATGATTTTTTTTCTTTTTCAAAAAATATTTTTATATTTAAAAATTATTTTTCATAAAATTTATTAATATAGGCTTTTACGTTTGATGCAAAGGGTCAATTAGAAAATGCTAAGGTACGTATTTAAAATTTAATAATTTTTACGATTTATATATATAATAAATTATAATAATTAATAATATTAATAAAAATTTAAATTAATTAATATTTTGAATAATAAAATTTTATATTAATATTAGCTTTCTCTTTCTTTACATTAATAATATTATATTTTATCAAAATATACTTATTCATTTTTCACATAGAATTTAATAAGAAATCATATATTAAATAAAATTTTTTAAATAATTGAATATATTTAGTTTTTTTGAACTGATAATAAAATAAAATAAAATAAAATGAAAAATTTTTAATATGAATTTTAATGCAAAATCTTGTCATAGTTTGATTACAGCTCTCAAGCAAACTTACAGGAAGCTAGCAATGCCAGTAATAGTGACAATGACAGTGATAATAACAATGACAGTGATAATGACAATGATAGTAATAGTGGAAGCAACGAAAATAATGATGACAACCAAAATTTATCTGATCTTAAGAACAAAAATTCTCAGCTTACTGATGATTTGGAAAAACTTATAGAATCTGTAGAGGATATACTTGAAAATGAGCTGAGAGGAGTAACAAACGAATCTATACATATTTGGGAAAGTGTAAAAGACAAACTCATTTCAATCGAAAATAATTCCAAAGTGAATTTTCAAAATGTTACGAGTAATATAGAAAATATCCTGAATAATTTTAACAATAAAACCCATAATGTCTTCGAACATGTTAGAGATATTGTACAAAACGAGACAGAAGCATCTAAGAAAGAACTTTTGAAAGCTTACAGAAAATTGAAGAAAGATATAGCTAAACTTGAAGAAAATGGAAATAATATCTCGCAAAAAATACGCGAAGAATTTAAAAAATTCTTTGAAGAAACTTATGAAAAATTAAAAAATACTACTTATTTTCTGGAAAATGCGATAAATGAAGCTGAAAATAAAGCTAAATATATTTTAAGTGAAGTGAAAAATGTTACATTAAGCGAATTACAAAAAATCGAAAAAAAAGGTGCAGAAATATGGCAAGAAGCGAAAAAAGATCTTCAATCAATGGAAAAAAATGCAGAAGATGCTATAAATAAGATAACAGATTCGATGAAAAAATTGAAAAACGAAACCAATGAAGTTCTTCATAAACTTTCAGAAGCGCTGAATGAAAATATAGAAGAAATCAAACAAAATGTTACCAAAATTGCAAATGAAGTGAAAGAGATTGTAAACAATACAGTATTTGAGATCAAAAAAGCAGTAAAAAAATTTCGACAAGAAATTGAAGAAGATGCTGAAGAGGTCAAAGAAAAAGTGATTGAAATCATAGATGATTTAAATGAAAAATTATCTCAAATTGCCAACCAAACTGCTAATACTTTAAAAGAAACTGAAGAAATTCTTGAAGAACAATTTGAACAAGCCAAGCAAAATATTTCTCGACTTGTAGATAAAATAAAAGATGTTGTTTCAAATATTTATCGATCTGTGAAGAGTTCTATGTTAGATATTATTGACAATATCAAAAACGATATTAAAAATATTAAGTCTAAAAATGATGTATTCTTATACAATATAACGCAAACAATCGAAAATAATGTGGAACAAGTAAAACAAGAAATCACGAAAGTCGTAGTTGATCTTAAGAATAAAACTCAAGAACAATTAGAACATCTCAAAAATAAACTCGGTGAATTAAAAGGAGAAACCTCGCAGGCTAAAAAAATTATTAGACATAAAATAAAAGAAATTATCAAAAATGTTACCAATGTGCTTGATAATTTGGAGCATAACATAAACAATACTTTGAGATATGTCCAAAATAAAACTTCTGAGATTATAAATCACGTAATAAATATAATTAAAGAAAAAATACAGGAAATCATACAAAAATCTGCTCAAATTGTAGCAGAAGCGACAAATACAATCGAAGACATTAAAGAAAATACAGCCGTAATTTTGAATAATACTTTGACTGAATTAAGAAAAGATGCCAACAATCTTTTGAACAATGCCAAGGAAGATGTTCATAATATAACTAATCAAGTTGAAAACCAAGTTTTTAATGTTCTTAATAATATTAAAAACGTTACAAAAAATTCATTGAAAGATATTGAAAATATTACATCTTATGAAAAAAATTTAAAAGAAATAATTCATCATATTTCAAAAGATTCTAGATCTATAATAAATAATGTTTTGAATGATGTTCATGATACTATTCATGTCATTTTCAATGATACTAATGATACTATTGAACATATAATTAATAATGTCAATAATGTTACTTCTAATATTTTTCATAATGTAAAAAATGCCATACAAAATGGAATAAATGATACGAAAAATAATATAAAAAACGTATTTGATGGACTTCAGAATTCTGTTCAGAAGGTTTCCGATGCTGTGCATTATTTCAATAATAATGTAAAAAATATACTTATAGGTAATATAAATATTTTACAATAATTATTATATATATTAAATATTAAATAAAATGTTAATGAATTCTATAAATAATTTTTGTTATAGGTAATATAAAGAATTTTAGTCACAGCAAGTAAGTTTAATATATATTTTCAAATTTTTCAAATAAAATATACGACATAATATTTATATAATATAAAATTATATATCTTATACTAAAATGTAAAATTCCATTTTTGTTTCATAAATATTGTTTATATTTATGTTTAGTTCCCATTTGGGATTTAAGTAACAAACACAAGCTACAGACTACATCATCTTAAATGGAATCAAAGACAGAAGATTGGAAATTATTAAACAAATAAAATAGTTTTCAAATAAACAGCAGTGAAAAAACAAAATAAGAAATCAACATATTGAAAGTGCATGCTGATTTTGTTTAAGTTAAAAAAGAACATATATGTTTATATTAAATATAAATAACTGTTATTTATGATATTAATAAAAATAGTTAAATTAAATATAAATCTAATTTAATAAACTAAATTATTGAAACATTATATTAGATTGTGATTCAGATGATTGTATATCATTCCAACAAGCTATTTCTGCCATTTCCAAATTACCATCTTCTGTTAATGTTAAAATTTGTTTTTCAGAATTGTCTTTAAGTTTTATAGCTAAATCTGTGATACCATCAGAATGTGATGCCATCACTGAGGAATGTGTTGGTGTTTCATTAATTTCAACAGGTTGTAAAATACGTACATATATTGGTTGACCAGTTGCAGAAATATTATCTACAATTAAAAAACATTTTATAATAAAATGTTTTCTAATTAAACATGAACCTTAAATTCTTACCAGAAGTTAAAATATTTTGTATTGATAAATTTTCAGAATTTGATAATCTTATTATAGGAATATTTTCATTACGATTTGAAATTTGTGATTCTGAATATGTTTCAATAGTCATAATTGGTACATTTTGTTGTATACTTTTTTCCAAAATTGGAATATCCAGTATAGTTTCATCAATATCTTTCAAAGATGATTCTGAAAGACATTTAGAATATAATTTATTGACCACAAAAGCAAACCATTATAGAATTATAGAAAAGTAAATATTTTAGAAAACCTGTTTGTTTATCTTGAACTCTAGCCTGATCATTTATATGTTCTTTCACATTACAATCATGTGATTCTTGTTGACTTTCATAAAATTGTACACCACATTTATCACAAAATATTTTTTGTTTAATGTGATCTCTAATGTGATGGACCATAAATGAATTATGAAGTGTGGTATATTGACATTTATCACATTGCAACCAAATATTACTTTTTTTATGTTTGGGCTTTTCAGTAATATTTGAAGATAAAATAACATCTTTCCTATTTTGATAAGTAGTTACAGTTTGATTGTTACATTTTGTTATCTGTGGTGGTTGAGAACGCTTTTGTTTCTCACTATTACCAAGAAGTTCTCCTTTTTCCAAAGAATATTTTTGCTCCAAAAATCTCAAAACATTATCACGTACATTACACATTTCAACATCAAGTCTATCAAGTGTATTAATAAGATTAGCACAACTTCGACAAATTACATCATCTTCTGATATTACTACCATATATCTATATTTTTATATAAAAAGGATAATTATAATACATTTAATTTGAATACAATGATACTGAAATGTGTATAATGTTCACATAATAACTGCAATAAGATACTACCTTTCACCAACTAATTCTCCAAGTTTTTCTATTACTCTAGTTCTTGATATTTGAGTTCTACATGTAGCCAAAGAATAATGACGTCCTTGAATCTTTGCATCACATACAAAACATTGTAATTCTTCCAAAAGTTTTGAATTATTATAGTCATTACCAGTATCAGAAACAGTTACATTTGTGCAATTGTTGCTAATATCTTCAGAACAAATATCATGTCGTTGTCCTATTGACAACATTGAAGTTATATTTGCCATTGGACTAATGACAATAATTTTTTTTAATAGGAATCAAGGTTAGGATACAAAATAGGACATATAAGGTGTATAACTGCAAAAAAATAATACAAAATAAAGAATATATAATTTTGTATTATAAATATTACACTGTACTTTTCTTTCCCATATTTTATAATAATATGATAAGATTAATGTATCAATATAATATAATTTTTTCACAAGATTATTACCACAGTATAAGATCATATAGCTAAAATATATTTTATGCCATCTTGTGAAGATTGATGAAAATAAATACATAAATTATGAATTTATATATATATGTATGAAATACTCAGAATAATAAATATAAGGTAGTATAACAATAAACTATAGCATTTTCTTGTTTAGGGACCAACATTGCTAGAATTCCCTAAAAAATAGAGAAAAAATAATAAAAACTATTATAAATGAAATATAAGCTAGATCTAACATTTTTGGGATTTTATGTCCTATGTTTTGAAATATCAATTGTACAAAAAATCAAAGTTAGATATGTCTTCTATGATTTAGAGTAGTTAATACTGAAATTGTATTCAATTACATTAAAAGTTGATCAAATATATTAAAAAAATCGATGAAGACATATCTTTTAAAAATAAGTTCATCTTATATAAGGATTATTTTAATTTAAATTTCTTATATTTATTTTTATATATTCATCAACATATAAAAAATGAATTTATATAAATATAAAATATATATATGACATAAATATATCATTGTATAATAAATATACAAAAATAAATATATATAATATGTAACATATACTTACAATAGTATATATAATATATAAAATTATATCGAAATATTGTATTAAGATTTTTAATAAGTTAGATAAAGGAGATAATAAAATTAATTAGATATCAAAGTCATCACATATAAATTTTATAGAGCAAGTACAGATAAAAAAACAAATAGTAAAAAAAGAATAGAGATAGAGTAAAAATCATGGAATCAGCATCATGAGAATACATTAATAAAACTAATATAGACAAGAAGAAAAATAGAAAAAGAATTGATAATCAGCACCATCTGTCGTATGCTAAAAATATCTATTCAAAGAATAAAATAAAATAAGAATTAGAGATCAGTATCATTTCTATAAAGATATTTATAGAAAAATATTTCTATTTATAACATTATATCGCATAACATTATCAGTTTTTAAATTTTTACCAATGATTATAATCTGTTTTTTCACTATTACTGTATTTCATTATATTTTCTAGACATTTTTTCCTTACTTCTGGCAACCCTGCTTATAATCTTTAGAATCTATTATTATTTTAGTGCCATTCTCAATATTAGAAATTCAACATAAAGTAAAACTGTATACAGATAAATTTTTTCGTATATTTTTATATTGTACATATCTAAATAATAAAAAAATAATATTTCAATTATTTTTTATAAAAATAAAAAAATAAAATTATAAAATTTTATTATTTGATATTATTTATTTATTAATGAATAAATATATATTAATGAATTTAAGTTAGAATAATAAATAATAAAAGGAAATTTTTATGATAAAGATAAAATTTATAACATAAATACTATATAAACATAAAAATATATATTTATATATAATTGAATACAACAAACAAATATTATCATGAATAATTTCTGATATTCTAAATGATTAAAATAAAAATTAAAAAAAATTTTGTGTATAATAATTTGTATGTTTTAAAGAAAATAATTTAGTGCAGGATGGGACGTAATAAAGATTCAGAAACAGATAGTGTTTTATCTGAATTTGAAAATGAGGTAAAAAACATTAAAATTACAGAAAGAGAAAAGCCATATAAATGTAGTTTTGTTGGATGCAACTTGGCTTTTTATAGACCATCCAGATTACAAAGGCATATTAGATTTCATACTGGAGAAGTAACATTAATATTTTAAGACTTAATTTTGATTATTTTTGATAATTTAACTTAAATAACTATGATTCATTTATTTTTAGAAAAATTATAAATGTAATTATCCAGGATGTGATAAAGCCTATACTAATAATTGTCATTTAAAACGTCATATGAAGAATCATAGTATAAAAAAGACATTATATAAGTAAATATATATTTCTTTTTAGTGCTTTATTGTTTTACATGAATTTTTAATATATTATTACACTTTTTATTTAAGGTGTCCAGAATGCTCATTATATATTAGTAATCGAGATAATTTGAAACGTCATTATAAGAGAATTCATGACAGACTGACTTGCAAAAAATGTAATGAAACTTTTATAAAAAAATATCAATTAAAGATACATATGACAACACAACATTTAGTTTCATATAAGTGCAATGAATGTAATAAAAATTTTACAAATTTAACAAAATTTAAAAGACATGAATCAAGTCATAAGAAAAGTGATAAACAATATTCATGCAATATGCCTGAATGTAATGAAGTTTTTAAAAAATGGTTACTTCTTTGTGCTCATATAAAAACTCAGCATGTACGTGGTAAGTATTTATTATTATATTTTTTATACATAATTTAGTTTAAAAAAAATATTTAATTGTAACTATAATTGTAAATATAATATATTTTTTAAAAATATATTTGTTTAGATCACAAATGCAAGGATTGTGATAAAATATTTTTGACTAAACGACATTTAAAAATTCATTCAAAAGTTCATATGGAAAATAGATCTGTTTTATCTTGTCCATACGAAAAATGTCCGCGAGTTTATTATTTTAATTGGAATTTAAAACAACATATACGAACTTATCATTTAGGAGAAAAATACGAGTGTGATATATGTAAAATAAAGATTGTAAATAAAAAAAGATTAGCTGAACATATTCAGAAATTACATATGTCAGAAAAAAGAATAAAACAATCAAAAAAATTGCGCAAAAAACGAAAAGATGCTGGATTACCTAAAAAAAGTACGGCGTCCAAATTAATTGGAATTAACTTATCACCAGAAATAGAAAAGATAATATTAGAAAGAAAAGAAGATATAATATATGAACAATTTAAAATGGTACCAAGTGATGATTTAGTTTGTAATTAATTTTTTTAATAAAACAAAAAAAATTATTTATGTATTAAATTATTGATTTGTGTACTTTTATAATTTAACACAGACTTGTTTAATGTATCAATATATCAATAAATCTTAGATAAAGCTAGCTGCAATACTAGCAAAATATTGAAACATATTTTTTTCAAAGCTATAAAATCCTATATAGAAATCTAAAACCTCAATTTGAAAAATAAAATAATTTTTTAGTTTTACTTTTCCTTTTGAATTCACAAAAATTAATTAGCATATTTTTTTCTTTATTACTAATTTTATTTTAAGAGAATAAAAATATTTTTATAAAGATTAAATTCTTTATAATTATAAAATTTTTTAA